AGTGTCGTGGATTAAGAAAAGTTCAGGACGGGCGCTCGATGGACATGATTGGATGGTCGGCTGCAGCGTGCGTATCCTAATTAATTCAAAAACAGGTCGTTATCCTGGTCCTCGGACTTAGTGTAGCGTGTGTGTCTGGCGTGATGTGCGTCATGGGTGCGCGTGGGGTCTCTGTTCGAGGAGGCCTGTGTGTCCGGCGTGGTTGGGGCGCGTGATGCGCGTGCGTTCCTGGCCGTTGTCGTGAGTTATGAGGCTAGTCATAGTGGGAGTAACTTAGGTAGTAACATAACGTACTTCAAGAATTTTTTGCTTATGTGGCACATAGTTAATGAGAAGAGAGGTGTTTAGAGTAACATAATATGTTACTGTAACATAGCGCTTCCCAAGAAAGTATGAGTCTATAAGGTAATAAATGTAGTCATGTATGATACTACTATTATGTTACTTTGTACTATAAAGGTAGTAATTTAGACTAGTGTTATATGCATGACATTAATATAAGTTACTCTTCACTATGACCAGCCTGAGGCCACAGTGCGAAAGCCAGCGAAGGCTCGTCGGTGCCGGGGTGCTCTTCCTCCAACAGGCAATGCCGCTAGCGAGTTCGCTGTCTGCCGCGCTGCCGCTCCAGCCACGGTCCCGAGCCAACTACCCCGCGAAATATCTGCCTCCGGCCCGATGAGCAGCATCCCAGTCTCCTCTGCTAGTTACTCTCTCCAGCCACGGGCACACATGTGCATACATTTGAGAGAGAACGGATGTACGTTTGTGTATATAGCTTTTTCTCTTGGTGTATCCACTGTCTTCTCCTGTCTAATTGGTACTGCAACCAAACCAAGCGAATCACTAGTGAATGCGGTCGTTTGGCTCATGCATGAGTTTGAGAATCTAATGTTTTTCTATTTGTTTAAATATATTGCTTGTCTCTCTCCATCCGTTCGGATTTTTGGAGCAACTGGCTGAAACATGAATTAAATATGATATCTAAACTAAAAGATTTCAAGTTTAAGACCCTGCAACACAGTATTAAAAAAAATTATGCAGCATACATCAATGCACACGTTTAGTAGGGACTAAATAGGACTAGACATGAGGGGAGGGGGGGGGGGTTGAAATATATTTACCGCCTCCCTCCATCAGTTCAGACATTTGAAGCAACTGACCGGAGCATGAATTCAATACTATTCACCGCTCTTCTTTCAAACCAAACACAAAAAGGCTATATCGAATCACTTGACATTTGACCCAACCAAAAAATGGCCTAGTTAGGACTTATGTGGTTAGGGATGACCATGACCATTCAGACCTATCTCCCAAACCAAACGAATCACTAGTGAATTCCCGGGAGCCCGCAAACCAGAATCTGTATCCTACATTATCTGTATCTCGAACTACTTGACATTTGACCAACCAAAACACTGTCTATTTCTGGTTAGGACTTAGTAGGACTTAGGTGGTTAGGGATGACCACAACCATTCAGACCTATCCCCGAAAAAAACGAACCACTAGTGAATGCAGATGTCTGGCTCATGGAAGCCCGGGAAACCCGAATTTGTCTCCTACATTATCTTATTAGCATCGATGTAGTAAATGCGGTTGAATTTTCTTTGTCCCAATACGAGGCAGGTACACTCAGGTATACAACTTACGAACAGGAAAACACATTTATTTCAGACATGTGGAGTTTAGGTTCAAATAGTCATGGCTTGTACCTTGTCATTACATCGTCAAAGCCACATCTCTCTTGTTGTGGGATCTCTTCTTTCTAACGAGGCATATTCGTTCCACGGTTTCTCTTCCCCGTGAGGCAACATCCAGAAGAACAAGCTATGACGGAAAAATCCCCATCCCATGTAGTCCTCGTTGTAGTGGATCAAGGATCATCCGCTCCAATCCTGTAAGTTCTATTGTTCTTTTTTTGCGTGAAAGTTCTCTCATTCTACACTGCATTTACCTTGATTTTATTCGGATATGCTCAGTCTTCCTATTCTCTTTACATCTAAAATGCCGCTCTAAAATTGCAACTTGGACACCATTTTTTTATAGATGTTTCTTCCCTAGATAGCTCACCAATTTTAGAGAAAAATCGACAACTATCGGAGATTGTACAAGAGGAGGGGAAGGTCGACTCTTTGAAGGACAACAAGAAAGAGTACAGAGGGTGTCATGTGCTTGAATTTGCAAACAAAGATGATGGAAGTTCTCCTAATACCGCATTAGCCCACTCTGCAACCCACCTTGTACCTTTTATTTTATTGTCATAAATACCTTTTTTGCAATAAATTATATAGTAGAGCCTCGTTGTTTCAAGGTTCACGAAAAAAACACTACTCCCATCGGTTCCCTATTATATCACATTAGCTAACGAAATGGTAAAATTTAACAGACTAATTAGTGTTTACCGTTAAGGTCAGTTATTGTGAAATATAGAGAAACATAGCTATTGCTTCTGGATATTTGGCAATACATGACGGCCATGGCGGAGGAGCCAGAAATGGGCATTGTGATGAATAAGTGATGGGCCAGAAATAGGCATTGTGATGTACCCCGGGAGCACGCATGCATGCAGTTATATGATTGCGTCAAGATGCATGCAGTATATGATTGCGTCAAGATTGGTGAAGTGGTTTTGTGATTAAAGCTTAATTGGTGCACGCATGCAACTTTTAGTACAACTTTGATGAGAGAGTCCATGTCTCACCCATCCCATCTCCCATAATAGAAATATAATCGAAACTTAAAATCATGTGGGGCTCCAACTTTTTGAAAAGTTTTGAAAACTTCGGCAAGTTCCAATTACTAAAACTTGATAGAATGAATGATAAGTTTATAAGATTTGGAAAACTTGGTAAATTTTAATATCAATCAAGTTTTAATATATGGAACTTTGCAAAAATTTAAAAGGTGTCTAAATGTATTTAAAATTAGTATTATTCGAAAGTACCCGTTGCAACAAACACGAATATTGCAAAAGAAACTTAATTTAGACTTTTTTGTGGAAGAACTTAATTTAGACTTGCGGTTCAAAAGATACAATCCATTTAAAATTTAAGATAAAATGAAGAAACATGTGAGGATAGCATTGTTTAGGTCGAATGTCCATTTCTGGGCAAATTTTAACTTACCTCTCATGTCAAAAGAGGAGGTAAGAGGGAGCGTGTTAAAACTGCTCCCATTTTCGGGTCCAGGCTCATCTGCACGCCATGAACAGTAAATAAAATATACTAAAGAAATTCAAAAAAATCCTTTTTTTTCATTGAAGATGTTTCGGTGCGTGAATCTTTTGGACATCTAATTAGCTCTCAGCAAAAAAAAAACAATGGGTCCAAACAGAACAGAGCATATATTTTTTTGACCGTGAATAATAATGCAATTATGTAAATAATAATGCGATTGTGTAAATAAATGTTCATCAAATTCTAACCGTGAATTATCTTATATTTTGATTAGAAGTTTCGTAAATACATTAAAATGGAATTGGTTCAGAAGGTAAGTAATTAAGATGATTCGATTATCATATACACCTACATGAAAGGTTGGATGAAAATATGGTGGGAAGAAAGATGAAATGAGATCCTTACGTTTTAACTAGTAGAGATAATAGAAATAATCCGTACAGATTTGGGTGAGAATCTGGGGACGGGAGGGAGCACTTCCCTCCTACTACTAGTAGAATTTCTTTCTCCAATCCCGCCTCCAAATCGCCGCCTCCCTCCTCTGTCCTCTGCATCTCTCCCGAAATGTTGAGTCTCGTCTCGTCCTGCTTCGGTTTGATCTCTGCCACGAGATTCGCATCCCCGAAGGATTCCCCATCCGCGTGCGTGGTTGGCCAGCGAGATGGGCGGCGGCGAGGCACCGGAAGGAGGAGGAGGACGAGACGCTGCTGGGGGACGGCGACATCGAGGAGAGCCCCCGTGAGAGCTTCCACGACGGCGACGGCGAGCTCGTTCGAGTCCCGCCAGTGGCCGCACAGTTAACTGTACGTCCGCGGCCGCATTCTCTCTCTACTCGATCGCCTCCCTTTACTTACTTCGTTTCTTTGATTGATCTGCCCCGCTCCACTGTGCTATTACTGGTTAAGCATTCGATCGTGCTGTGGTTTGCTGTGCCGATTTCAATGTGCTATTATGGTTAAGTATTCAGTAAAATTCGGTGATTGGGAATGGAAGACAGAGCACTAGTTTGTTCTGAATGTGGATTCACTCGATTGACCAATGACGTGTGACGCGTGTAGTTGCAACACCTAATCCAAGCTCGGAGTGGCCTAAAGTTCAGTTCACTGATACTTAGTTGGAATTTGGTTTATCGTTGGATGAACTGCATTGCTGATATTGATCCCAAGAAAAAAAAAACATTAGGTAGAGCTAGTCCGTGAATAGACAGCCATCGCACTGTAAAAATAGGATAGATTTGATCTATGATCATTGAGGGCCTCCTAAAAGGATCTACTAAATTCATCGAGTTGTTCTAAAGAATCAAAACGGTCGGTTATTAACGGAATTCCTTGTCGGCTTTCCGTGAAATACTCGTTTGGCCTAGGACTTCCAAACACGTCATAAGCTAAACCCGTACTGACAAATAACCAACCCGCAATGAATAGAATTATCTCATTTGTTCAATCGGACTGGACGACACAGGTTGACTGAAACCGGTAGGAAATAGGAGATCTTTTTTCAGCTTCGCCTAGCACCAGTATAGACTATAAGTATTGTAGTTTTACACAAAAAAAAAGATGGATATTTTTTATAAAAAATAGTACAGTACTACTATTGTTGAAGTGCAATTTTCAAAACTGACACCACCTGTGTTGACCCCTGGCAGCATTACTAATATGACACTTAGACTAGTATATCGCTTTACCAATGGGTATAATATTTGTATTGGTTGGCGCAACGAGAAGGTAAAGCATCACTAATTGATGCCTTTGCTGGCATTTCCTAGTAGCTGGCTGCACTCAGTCAAGAATGCCACCAGTTTTCCTTTTTATGCATAGACGGTAATGGCCAAGGCGTGGTGTTTATTTTGCAGGGAAACAACAGACACTTACACGATTGCTGTATCTCCCATCTTGGGTTACCTGGGTCCTTCAATGAGCAAATACTCAATTGATGGTGGTCGCAGTGGTCTGGCTTCTGACCTCAACTTGCCTTTTATCTTGGATAAACTAGAACCTGTCGAGAGCCCGCGGAGACATCTTCTTGGGTCGGTTCAAGATGAGGACCCCTCGTTTCAGTATACCAAAGAGATCGACGCCCGTCAAGGGTGCAGCGTAACACAGACAGTCTTCAATGGTAGTTTAAATATTGAAATAGAGAGTAAGGTATTCAGTAACTTCCTTACGGTCCAACATATTTGATTATCCTATGTTTCCTCACTGTAGGTATTAACGTACTGGCTGGTGTTGGCCTTCTTTCCACTCCATCTACAATTCATGAAGCTGGATGGGCTGGTCTTGCAGTTCTGTCTGTTTTTGCAATTATTTGCTGTTATACTGGAGTTCTTCTTAAGCATTGTTTCGAGAGCAAAGACGGCATTTCAACCTATCCAGACATTGGGGAGGCTGCCTTTGGAAAAATTGGCCGCTTGATCATATCTGTAAGCCCTGGCTTCTGTAGAACAAGATGGCTCAGATAACATTCTTGATTGTATGTTATGAGAGTGCCACCAAAGCCATAAATCAGCACAGCACATAACCTTAAAAACTAATGTGTTTGGCTATAAGGTTGTTTATTAGATGCTATATGGCCTTGATTAGTCAAAATGCATATATTTTCTAAGTAGGTATTATTCGCTTTGTTGGTAAAAACAAACTTAAATTATTTGCACAAGTATCATGTGGAGCAAACACAGACACATCTAGCGCGCCCACTCTCCTTTTGTCATGTTGTTTTGTGTTTGGTGTTAGTTTGGCAATCCGATCCTTGCCGGGTCATTGCTGTTTCTAGAAAATCACAAGCTAGCATAATCCTGTTCCTTGCTAGAACACTGTCACATCTGAAAATTTACAAGCTAGCATAAACACCTGCTGATTCGATTCAAGCTCTAGTCCTTATTCCTATTTTTGAATGTTGCCACCCACTTCAGAGTTCACGTGACATGAATAAGTCAGAATTGCAAGATAGAAGTTCTGGTCTTAGCTACTTTTTTTCGAAAAGGAGGGAATGCCCTGGCCTCTGCATAGTTTCAGTTTCAGCTACCCCTAGTATTCTCGGAAAAAAAGTCTTAGCTATTCCTAGGATGAGAAAATGCACATCTAAGTATCTAACCTCATTTATCTTACTTTTCTGCATAAATTGTTTATCTCTGGTAGCGAAAAACCACTGATTGATGTTTACTTTTTTTGCAGATTATTTTGTATACCGAGTTATATGTAAGTAGTTCATTTCTGCATGGCTTGTATTTTCCAAAGTTTGCCATCTAATTGCTTGATTATTGAGCAAATTATGAAACTGTTTTCCTAACTGATCTCTGTATAATTCTTGGGAAAGAAACATTTATCTGTACGTATTATTTGTTGGATGCAGTCATATTGTGTGGAATTCATTATTTTGGAAGGTGATAATATCACATCAATCTTTCCTGACATTAATCTTAATTTGTTCGGGATTCATGTTGATGGTAGACATTTCTTTGGAATGCTAACTGCTCTTGTAGTCCTGCCCACAGTATGGTTGCGAGATCTTCAAGTGCTATCATTCCTTTCAGGTCTCACTACTCTTAGCCTGCTTAATTAATTTTGTTACGGGCATCATGAGTGAGATTAGAAGGGGAGCCTTGGCGCAGTGGTAAAGCTGCTGCCTTGTGACCATGAGGTCATGGGTTCAAGTCCTGGAAACAGCCTCTTACAGAAATGTAGGGAAAGGCTGCGTACTATAGACCCAAAGTGGTCGGACCCTTCCCTGGACCCTGCGCAAGCGGGAGCTACATGCACCAGGTTGCCCCATCATGAGTGAGATTAACATGATTTAATTACTTGCGCAGCGGGTGGCATTATTGCAACTCTTGTGGTTTTTGTATCTGTTGCTCTAGTTGGCACCACTGAAGGTGTAGGGTTCCATCCGACTGGGGAAGCAGTCAAGTGGAGTGGGATGCCCTTTGCTATCGGTGTTTATGGTTTCTGCTACTGTGGGCATTCGGTATTTCCGAATATCTACCAATCAATGTCTGATCGCACAAAATTCACCAAGGCACTCTTTATATGGTATGCATGAACAACTTTCTTACACTGGTTAGTTTTTTCTGTAATATTCACATTCCTCAATGCATGCATATTTGTAATGTGCAGGTTCACAATTTGCACAGCAATATATGGCTCGTTTGCTATTATTGGCTATCTCATGTTTGGTGACAAGACTTTGTCGCAAATAACTTTGAATCTTCCAAAAGAGTCATTTGCCTCGAAAGTTGCTCTGTGGACCACGGTAACAATTTGGCTCAACTTAATTTCAGTTCCTGATACGTAACTATTTACTTTATATTGATCATTAACTTTTTTGTGTGTCTCAGGTGATCAACCCTTTCACTAAGTATCCTTTGGAATTTCTATTGTCAAACTTTGTTATGTCAAGGCTTCTATTAAGTTGATTTTCACTGTACAACCTCTATAGAACAGCTTCATGCCTTCATCCTTAACCACAAATAGATTTGCCTTGTTGTTAAACCCAGTGGCTCGGAGTTTAGAAGAGTTGCGCCCTGAAGGATTTTTGAACGAAACAATCTGCTTTATTATACTGAGGACAAGCCTTGTGGCGTCAACTGTTGTGATTGCCTTTCTTCTTCCGTTCTTTGGTATGCTTATATACCTTTGTTCATCAATGTTTTTTTTTCTATGCATTGTTGTTAAGATTGTCAAATCTTATGCACATAGAATGCATACTTATCATCCTTGCTTTTGTTGTCTTTTGAGGATGCAGTCTTCACTGTCAATCCGATGTACTTGTAGTACATTTTATTTCCTTTGGTTTTCTCGAAAACCCAGTAAATTTCCTTTGGAAACACATTACTTTGAAATGACAGATGGTGCATAAACTTTACACGCAATTGTTTCCTCGCAAACAGCTAAATGTAGTACCAGGATTACTAGTTGAAACAGCATCTAGATTAATTGCATTTTCAAGACTTGTTAACTCCATGCTCCTGGAAAACTAATCCCTTCATGGTGTTAGGACTTAGGAGCGATAATGAGCAGTAACCCTCTCAGATCGGAGTTTAATTGAGGACTGGGTTATCTTCCTTTTTGGAAAAAATAATTGGGGACTGCCTGTAGGCTCTGTTACAAATCCAATATTCCTAAAACACTTCTTTCTTTTAGGGAACTCCTAAAACACCTCTGCTTACCATAGTACTACACACTTCAGCTGCTTAAGCCATTATCTGCTCTGTAATCTTTATTGGCGGCTCACAGAAGTCTTCTCTGATAACACATTACAGAAGAATTATACAGTGTATTCCTGATTTACATGTTGCATATTCCAGGTTTGGTGATGGCTCTGATTGGATCCCTGCTCAGTATACTTGTGGTATGCCATTGTTTCCTCCAAGCTTCCTTCTCTTCTGGAGATGATTTCTGGACATTCAAGATTTCTCTGTGCATACCATGTTGTCACTCCAATTTCAGGTGATTGCAAGTGTCTCTATAATAGTGGTTGGAGTCATCAGTGCCGCCCTCAGAACCTACTCCTCGGTGGCCAGCATAATCGGATACTACTGATTCTTCCAAGGCAATCTCTTTGACATCTCTCAGTAGTCAGTACTGTCACTCTTGCCAAGAGTTTTTGCTGTGTATCATCGAATTTTACCGTGCTCTATGTACATCCTTCGACCTAGTATAGTCGATTTATAAAGACTACTGTTACCATTTAGCTGCTGCTATATCATTTGGTGTACGTACCATATTTCTGCCAGGCGCTGCGGTTTAAATATTGCCAGTTGCTCTGTTATTTTTTTTTCTGAGTCGAAGTTGCTCCGCTATTTTTTTTTTGAGGCGCTAGTTGTGCGGCCGAAATGGACACAGTAAATGGGCCAGGATGCATTCCACGGGCTTATGCAAGCTGGTTTCAGTATTTAGGGCTTACGCCTGCTGGTGATATCTGTAGGTGGGTTGGGCCTTATCTTGTTTCTGCCTCCAAGTGCACTTTTGAACAACCAGTTGTGCTGACCATTTACCGCTCAAAAAAAAAAGTTCTGCAGACCATTCTGATTTCTGAGTTTCTATAAAGCTGGAAAAAATCATGCAATATCTCATAAAAAATACGACCATTTGCGCTATGTACAATAAATCTCTACTATTAAAGATGAGTTTGTTGGTTTTTGCTTCCATCCCTCTAAGCAATTTTTTTTCAGACCAGGCGATAACTTCATTGTTTATTTTCTCAAACTGACTCCACATCCTCATTCCCGGGGCAAAAAAATCCCTTGTAGGACAATCAACAGAAATCAAATAAACCACCAATAACAAGAAATCCTTTACAAGAAATTTCAAAATAAAATCCTTTACAAGCAAATAACAAAATAAAATAAACTCACATAGTTGTACGTATACAATCTCAATCACGTCGTATCTTTCCTTATCTTTGACTATGAATTCCTTCCTCGCAACATATCTCAATCTCAGTCTAATCAATAAAATTCTACGTTGACCCATTTGAATAAAGTTACCCTTGTCGCAACAAAAGGGTATTTAGTTAGTAAAATAATAAGTGAACAGTTATATCTATGTTATTTCAACTACATAATTGTTGCAGCATGGGAATAAATATTGTAGGGAAATGTTAATTGGGGAACGTTCCTGGTTAGGAGGTCCCTGGGAATGCCCCCACAGTCATTGAATCCAGATCACACGGTTGGTATTGTTTTTATTGATGTCGTTATTTTTTTGCGTCATATGGCAACTTTCTCTTCTGATCATGGCAATTCATTTAAAGTTGCCATGACAAAATTAGTTGAAATTGCATGGCAACTCGAGTGTTCGCGGAGAACATGCTCTCAAGGACCGTTCCTCGGATATTGGCATATTCTAGTAGGTTAGCTTGTGAGTTACCTACCATTTAATTGTTGATTTGATTGTATAAAAGAAATTTATTTGGTAACACTTATTTTTACATTGTACTACTGTTACCATTTAGCTGCTGCTATATCATTTGCTGTACTAGATATTTTTTTAGAATCTTGCCACCTTATTTAAACCTCCAAAACGTCAGGTACATGAAGAAAATTAGGCCTGGCAATCAGCCATACATGTCTACCTATGTCTAAGGATACATAACCTTTAGCTAAATCATGGGCATCGCCATTTGATTCTCTCCCTTTGTGCACAATGTCCGTCGCTTCAAAGCTTCTTTGTCTCCCCTAGATATCTCTTATGCAGGGCCGGTCCTGAGAATTTGGGGGCCCGGGGTGAAACTAAAATGTGGGGGCGCCTTAATATGAACACACATTTGCTATTTCTCAGTTTCTTGCGGGTTGTTGTTCCTCAGTTTTTTGCGGGTTGCTATTTCTCAATTGCCTTGCAATAGAAATCTGGTCGGTCGAGTTAGGAGATCATCAGGGAGAAGATAGTTACGCTATGTGGCCTAGACGAGACGACACATCTTCTTACTAGCCGATCGGGGAAATCATGGCTAGCGCGACATCACCGATGCAAGAGCAAATGAATGGTTCACATGTGGGTGAGTGAGTGTTTTTTTACCACAACTTAGATTAGACCATGGATGTGCTCGAGATGAGGATGTCATGGCTGGTGAGGGCTCGTGGGAACCTTTTTTATTTTTGAAATGCTCATAGGAACCTTTCCGGAGGCAGGGAAGGGATGGATCGTTGCAGCGTCTCTATCAATGAAGAGGCGGGGCGGGGCGGGAAAATAAACTGAATGGATATCAAGTTCTCTTATTACTATGTCTATTGGAAAAAGACTTGAAAGGAGGAAGATGTGGTGCTTAACTGAAGGGGGTGGAAATCGACTCAAACTTCATTTTTAGGCAATTGTTCCCTAGGTTACTCACATATAAATAAACATTATAACAATAGGCTATACCTACATTTTGGAGGACGTCATAACATGTAGCTCTGAAATTAAATAAAATTGCATCAAAAGTTTTACTATGCAAGCTATGCATCTACATGATGTTGGAACTTAATTAGTAACATATGTATGGGGAATAGAAAGGGCAATATGGCATTACCTCGGATCTGTATGACCGTGGAGGCGCTCGACGATGCTCATGTCGCGTGCGCCGGTGTGATTCCATGTGTCCAGCGCTAAAACCAACCAGCTGATTCGCATCTCACTATCAGGACCCTAGGGCGTGGAGATCGGAGGCGCCAGGGCTGGAGACCTGCCACCATTGACTCGCGGTTGGGAGGGTAATAGGGCATACTCATGGCATACATCCATACCTGCGTTGTGTTCCTGCAAATTCCTTTGCTGGGCTATTTTTTTCTAGGCTATTTTTTCAAGAGAAG